CCAGACACCCAAAAATATTAACAAAAAATAAATTTTTTAAAGAATACCTATAGTTTTACATGCAGAAAAGAATGAGAAAGAAATATAAAGCAGTAATTTTAATAATAAATGAACATTACGTACATTTACTGAAGACTCTTGTTGGCATATGGAAGAAGGTGAGGAGGGGAGAGGGAGGAGAGTTTGTTTGGAAGGGAATTCCCCCTCCATAAGGACTTCAGGTATCAAGTTCCTCTCTCGGGTTACTTCCCTTCTTTGCTTTTTACTGGCACTAGGACCAGCTTGAGAGTCACTGCACCCCTGTCACACAAAAAAATCTGTCCAGAGGTGCCTGTTTCTGGTGTCTCTGTAAAATTTGCCTAAAATTGGACAAAACATTGTCACTGAACATGTTGCAGGCACAGCTTACAACAGTTTTGTCAGGGTGATAATTCTCCACAAAACTTTTCACCTCACTCCACTTTGCACAAATGTCCTTCATCACTGAAGAAGGCACATTTTCCCCCCCTCTTCCTCCTATGAAGCAATATCCTCAGCTGCTGTCTGTTCCTGTTCCTGTTGAAGGTGTTGCAGCTCTTCAGTGGCTAGCTCTTCCCTCTGGTCATCTACCAACTCTTCCACATCCTGGCCACTCACATCGAACCTCATGGATTTCTCCAAAGACAAAATAGATTCCACAATAGGCGTAGGGTTGTCAGGGTCAGTCTCAAACCCTTCAAAATCCTTGTCGAGGACACATTCTGGCCACAATTGTCTCCAAGCAGAGTTCAAAGTCCTGAAAGTCACTCCCTGCCAAGCCTTATCTATAAGGCTTATGCAATGGAGGATATTGAAGTGATTCCTCCGGAACTCTTTTAGGGTCAATTCAGTGTCCAAAGTCACTTCAAAGCACCTTTGAAACATTGCTTTGGTGGACAGTTTTTTGAAGTTTGAAATGACCTGATGGTCCATGGGCTGGATGAGAGGAGTGGTATTAGGGGCAAGAGCATCAGTGTGATGAGCTTACACTCCTCAAACAACAGGTCTTCCAAGTCTGGAGGATGAGCAGGAGCATTGTTCATTAACAGGAGGCACTTAAGTGGCAATTTATTTTCCAGGAGGTATTTCTTCATACTCGGGCCAAACACTTCACTGACCCACTCCTTGAAAATTAGCCTTGTGACCAATGCCTTATTGTTAGCCCTCCATATCACACAATTTACTCTTCATGACATTGTTTTTCTTGAACGCTCGGGGATTATCAGAGTGATACATGAGTAAATGCTTCACTTTGAAATCCCCACTAGCGTTACCACAGAACAAGAGAGCTAGCCTATCCTTCATAGGCTTGTGTCCTGGCAATGCCTTTTCCTCCTGCATGATATAGGTCCTCTTTGGCATTCTCTTCCAAAAGAGGCCTGTTCGTCACAACTGAACACTTGTTGGGGGAGGAATTCTTCAGCCTCTACGTACCCCTTGAATTCATCAACGAATGCTTCGGCCGCACATTTGTCAGAACTTGCAGCCTCGCCATGCCTTACAACACTGTGTATGCCACTACACTTCTTGAATCTGTCGAACCAGCCTATGCTGGCCTTAAATTCACCAACAGCAGCACTCGTTCCCGGAATTTTCTTTATGAGATCCGCATGCAACTGCCTTGCTTTCTCACAAATTATCCCCTCCAAAACACTCGCCTAATTGTGGTTGCAGGGGTCGAGACTCAGCTCCTGGCCCCGCCTCTTCACCGACCACTACTAGGTCCTCTCTTCCCCTGCTCTATGAGCTTTTATCATACCTCGTCTTAAAACTATGTATAGTTCCTGCCTCCACTACATCGCTTGCCAGACTATTCCACTTCCTAACTACTCTATGACTGAAGAAATACTTTGACTCATCTGAGTCTTCAGCTTCCAATTGTGACCCCATGTTTCTGTGTCCTATCTCTGGAACATCTTGTCTCTGTCCACCTTGTCTATTCCACGCAGTATTTTGTATGTCGTTACCATGTCTCCCCTGACACTAATTGGTTCTCGTTGACCCACACCAACAACAACTTCTCCACATCCTCGATTGTTTGAGACCTCTGTGTCATTAGCATATTTACACAATTTGCAACATCAGCTTCCTTGATTTCTGCTTTCTTCAACAGGATGGAAATGATTGTTGATGTAGATTTCCCATACATCCTGGCCAGTTCAGCCACACATACGCCACTTTCATATTCTGCAATAACTTCTTTCTTGAATTCTATTGTTTCTCACCTTCTTTACCAAAGGGCTGGCACTCTGAACTTTCTTTGGCCCCATGTTGACTTATTTCACAGTTGCAATCAATAAACAAGCACCAAAAACAATGGATGAATGCGTGAAGTATTTTAACCCAATGAGAGATGCACAGACTGAGTGTGATACGCACGAGGAAGGGTGTTGCCGGCAGGTGGACACATCTCATACCAACGATTTCCGAGCAGATGGCCGAAATCCGAGGGAAATCTCACTGAAAAAAAGTGCTCAATTTCCAAATTGGCCAATTTCTGCACCGGCCGATATCTGGGGGTCCAGTGTACAGTGGACACCCTCCCTTTTCGTTGGGCTCTGTTTTCGCTCATTTCCGTTGTCGCTGATTTTTTCCATAAAATTAGTGGCTCCGTTCTCGTCGATGGTATGGTAAAAATATTGGCTCCATTTCTGTTGCTTTCCTTTGATCTCATTGGTGGTAGGGTACCTGTCTGAGTGCCACGCGCACACAGAGCGTCCCACACGCATTCTGAGGCAGTGTAGCTTTGTTTCTCGGTGAGTGAACATTATCCTGTGAGGTCATAGGAAACATTTTGTAATAATTCTTTGTTTTTTGCATTTGTTTATTCTGTGTGACTGCTAAATAAGCCACCATGGGCCCAAAGAAAGCTGCTAGTGCCAGCTCATTTATAAAAAAGGTGAGAAATACGATAGAATTCAAGAAAAAACTCGTAGCAAAGTACCAAAGTGGAGGAGGAAGAGAGAGGGGAGAATGTGCCTTCTTCAGTGATTCAGTGATTCTGCGATATGCACAATACTAAAGCAGGAGGAGTCGATAATGGCTATGGCGCCACCCAGTGATACAGCATAGCATTACCAGTGTAGCAAGTTGTGTGATTAAGCGATAGAAAAAGGACGACACGAAACCGACTCCTCCACTGTTGTTTGAGGTATATAGGGCACTGACAAACATACGCTGCCCTGCCTATCTTCCACCACCCTAAACCAATGCCAGCATCTCCAAGGTAGAGTAAGTATAAATATTTCTTATTTATGAAGTGGAAATATTTCAAATTTATAAATTAAAGTGTAAATATTTCTAATTTTTAAATTACGTACATTGTTTGTGTGAATAGTGTTGGTGGCTTCTGCTGCTGCCATCCACTGATATGTACGGCTCCTCTCAGTGGCCATTATAAACCCAACATCACCACCACCACCACTTACTCCTCACATACATAATGACATTTTATTCGTTCTAGAGTATACACCTACCATCCGACTTACGACCAAGCTTGGTTCCGACCAACCGGTCGTAAGTCGAAATGGACGTAAGTCGAACCTTTGAAAATTGCCGACATACTGGGTAGGGCATAATGTCAAAACTTTCCTATATAAACTACCTACATAATACTGTAATGTAATGTACAATCATTATTTCATTCCTTTTTACCATAATTTACTTCTTTTGTTGTATTTTAATTATTTATGTACTGTATATAATGTATACATGGTAGTGATATGTAATGTAAATTTTACATCGCATACAGTATCATATGTTACTATTATCTTTATGTATTGTCGACACAGTGGAATGGAAGAATACCACTGGTAGTGTCATCCTGCCAGAATGTTGTATAACCTATACCCTAAGTAAAGAGAAACAACTCTGGAACATGTGTAATACGTATGGGTCACATAACCAGAGACCAAACAAAACGTTACTCGTCAATCCTAACCAGCCTGATAAGAAGGGCAAAAAAATTGTATTATGAGAACAGATTATCCAACTTACGATGTGATATAAAAAAGACCTGGAAAACCCTATCAGAAATTCTGGGAACAAAAAAGATATCACGAAATAGCAAAATAAAATTAGCAAAATCAGATGAACCCCAACTCCCACCAACAGAAACAGCAAACAGACTCAATGATTTCTTCTCCACTATAGGACAAAACCTTGCCAATAAAATCCCAAGCTCAGATACCCCACCAAATGACTACCTCACCGGCAACTACCCGAACACACTGTTCCTAGCTCCTACTAACCCATACGAAGTCTCCCTTATTATCAATGCACTAAAAAACAAGGCAGGAGATTTAAGTACCTTACCACCCTTTATATACAAAAAGTGTCACAAGTGCTATCTCCAATCATTGCAACACTCTTTAACAAATCCATTGAATCCTCCACCTTCCCTACAGTACTCAAAATAGCAAGGGTCACCCCGATCCACAAAGGAGGAGACCAAACAGAGTTGAATAACTATAGGCCAATATCCAACTTACACCCTCTCTCAAAAATCTTCGAAAAATTAATTCATAAACGAATCTACTCCTACCTTATCTCCCAAAACATACTCAACCCCTGCCAATTTGGATTCAGGCCTAATAAAAATACTAATGATGCTATTATACACATGCTAGAACATATATACACTGCGATAGAGAAAAAAGAAGTCCCACTGGGGATCTTCATTGACTTACGTAAAGCTTTTGATACAGTTGACCCTTTATCACTCTCTTATTTACCCCTATCTCACCTATGGAATTTGTGCATGGGGCTCAACAACAATTAACCATCTCAGACCACTAATTACCCAACAAAAGGCTGCAGTTAGAATGATAACAAATTCTCACTACAGGCAGCACACTCCACCAATATTCAATACACTAAACCTAGTCACCATACAAAACATCCATACTTATTACTGCACCTATTACATACATAGAACACTTAACTCTGATATTAACCCTCCCCTCAAACATCTCCTTGCCAAC